CCAGAACATTCTAGAAGAATTAGTAAGCGAAGATACTGATATTGGCCAGTAATCCCAGGAATGGGAGGAGGAGGATGGTTTCAGGCTAGCCTGGGCTACAGTGTGAAACTGTTTCAACCACAAACCTATGCTAAGTATTTCTGGTCTGAGTTGGAGTAGGGCAGCAGCAGGGAGCTCACCCACTGTGTGCGAGGCTGTGGATTCCATTCTTGGCACTATGTCAGAATCTTCTCATGCACTTCACAGAGGATGCTTTGAGGTGTCATTAGAAATCATGCCGCAGGCCGGAGGGGTTTGGAGAATTGGCCTCAGCCAGGTGGTGATGTCACACACCTTTAATCCCAGCTCTTGGGAGGCAGAGGCAGGCCTCAGGTTCTCCCAAGTTGCAGGCCAGCCTGCTCTACAGTGTGAGTTCTAGGACAGTCTGGGGCTATATCGAGAAACCCTGTCTTATTAGCAAATCAAACAGAAAGACACTGGCCTCGCTGCTCGCTGCTCTACCGGTGCTGGCTTCCTACTGTAGTACTCATCTTTTTCAAGCCTCTGGACAGTCATGGGCACATGCTACAGTGAGCTCCAAGCGGGGGGGGGGGGGGGGGGGAGTTGTGTGTCAGGAGAGGAGGCGTATTGACAGTGGTAGAGGACTTTGGCCCCTCCAGCATGGGGGGGGGTGGGGGGAGGTAGAGGCTGTTGGTCTAGAATTAATACAAACAAAACAACTAACAAACCTGGGCTGGAGGGATGGCTCAGCCATTAGGAGGCTGGCTGCTCTTCCAGATAGTCTGACGCCCCCTCCGTCCTCAGGCGGCATTGCAAGCAAAACACCACGCCCAAAACAAAATCCCCAAACCAACTTTATGGCAAGTGGTATTAGTTTGTTTTTTTGTTTGTTTGTTTTTTGGAGACAGTCTCTCTAGCCCTGGCTGTCCTAGTGAAGTCCTCCTGCCTCAGTCTCCCAGCGTGTGCCACCACACCCAGCGCCAGTACCCATCTTTTAAAGTTTGTGACTTGCCCTTCTCTTTCTCCCAGAGAAGTGTTAGCGGTTGCGCGGGGCTTCCTTCCGCCTCCACAGGCCTCCCAGCCCCAGAGGGCTCGCTCTGCCTCCCTCTAGCTTTTCCTTTGTAAGCATTTGTTTGTTGTGTGTGCACCCCAGCAGCAGACAGGAGGAAACATGCTGGCCAGGCTTGGCAGTAAGCTCCTTTACCCTAGGAGCCTCCTCCCCAGCCCGGCCGCAAACCTCGGTTCTGATGTTTCTCATGGCTCCGGAGCTCGGCTTAAGGTTTTTAAAGTGAGTCTCCGTTGTCCGTGTGCAGCCAAGGATCGGGTCCCTGTGCTGCCTGATACTTCAGGTCAGTGGCCTCTGTGTGTGTGTGTGTGTGTGTGTGTGTGTGTGTGTGTGTGTGTGTGTGTGTGCTTGCATGCTTGAGGCCTTCCTCAGAGAGAGAGAGACCGAGAGAGACCAAGTAAATGCCCTAAGGCATTTTAAGAGAATACTGACTGTAATTAAAAAAATTAAGTAAATAAAACCATAAACAGTAGTTGCTACTGTACCTCAGCTAAGGCATTTTTACAAACATAACCATGCGGTGATCACAGCTGCCCTTCCCCCTTTCTCTCTGATGTGGGTCGCTGTGCTTAGAACCATTGCCTGAATCTGAATTTCCCCAACGTGTCCCCGGATGAGTGTCCCAGCTGGTGCTGCATGGGGGTGGGGGACGGACCGACACGGACCCAAACCAAAAAAGCTGCACACACTGTATCTTGTTTACCAACAAATCATTTTCTTTCATTGGGTGCCCTGACCAGCCTGCCCACATTTTGTTGTTATTTATTTATATTTTCCTTCAGCCTTTCCCCACCCCCCTGCTCCTTTCCTGCTGGGCCCGCATTCCTAGGTCTTTGTCTCTGCTTGGTATTTTAGAAATTTTGGGAGAGGAAGGCTGGGAGGGGTGGGACGTTCTAGAAGCTGGGGGCAGGGAAGGGGGTGGTCACTTGAGGGTCAGAGGTCAGGCCAGCTCCTTTTAGCTAGAGCAGCCAGATTGTCGCCAGGCCCGAGGGGGCGTGTCCATGCATCTGCCAGGGTAGCCCCAAACAGGCGGCTCGTAGGCCCTGGAATTCCTGCCACCAGCAGGCTCCACCCTTACCCTTCCTACTCGCTGGTAGTGGCCTGGCCGCCACTTGGGGGCCACAGCCTCCTCTACCTAACTCGGTCTATTCCTTGCCCCCCCTTAATTAATGGCTCCAAGGATTTCCCATCCATTATAGCTTTAAATTACATGTATTTATTTTAGAGGCAGGCTGTGTGGAGAGCAGGATTAACTTAGAGTCTGATCTCTCCACCATGGGTGGGTCCTGGGAACAGACTCAGGTTGTCGGGCTTGGCAGCAGGCATTTATTTAGCCCACCGTCATCTCCGTAGCCCCAAGTCTATTCCTTTAATTACCCAACCGCTGGGAAGAAAGTTTCCCGGTGTCCTTCCTCATGGAGTGTGCGTCTGTAGTTCTAAAATTCTGCCTCCCCCGTCTTAGAAATGGCAGGTGAGTAAGCTTGGAATGCTCCCAAATTTTAACTTCAGCTCATACATAACTAGACGACTTAAAAATTGATGGTTTTTTTTTTTATGGTTTTGCAACAATGTGTGGTCTTGAGATGCAGTTTTATTAATTACAAGCGTGCCCAGGCTGTTTTGTGCATCTGTAGTTTCTATTAGCAACCACTTGGGTGCCGTGTTGCTGCCCCTCCTCGCTGTGGGCCCCCCCCCCCATTCTTTGGATTTGCTCCCATCCACTTGTGATAGGATTCCGGGCCACGTTTCATGTGGGACTCCTTTGACTCATTGGAAGCACTTGGTCTCTGCACATCTATTCTTCTGATCGCGCACTGCCTGTTGGAACCAGAATTTCTCTCCCCCCCGAGTCCACCCAGGCTTACTGTAAGGCCTCCAGTGCTTGGCATCATGTAAGCTCTATTGTAGGGTTGACAAGCCTAAGGCCTGGGAGTTTCTGAACACTTGGACAATTGCAGCCCAGAGCCCACTTTCTTATCTTAGCCCAGAATTGCTTGAAAGCTCTTAGCTTCCTGTTGTCCACCCCCCAGATGGGCTGGTTCCTGGGATTTTGAAGCTTGGAAAGGTTCTCCTGAGGGACCTAGGCAGACCCCATTTGTTCCCCAAGCACGTCAGAGCAAGCTGCTGGACAGGTGGCCCAGGCCCAGGGGTGGGGGCGGGGGGGGGTGGGCTGTGCCTCTGGTTATGGAGAACCCTGTAGGCTGGCCATTTGCTTTCACTCACATCTAGGGAAAGCAAGGGTCAGTCTATTGGCAAGGGAAGACCTTAGCCCATTGTATTTTAATTTTGAAGGCCTTCTGTTGGCAGGGTTTCACACCTCACTTTAGGAGGGGAGTGGTCCCTTTTTCCCTGGGCAGATGGAGGGAGGAAGGGAAGGAATGCATGCAGCATGCATTTTGCTTTCGCGCTGCACTGAAACTTGCAAGGGATTGCTCTGGGTGATTCAGTGCAGTCATCTAGAGGTTTCTTGGGAATTTCCAGATTAGCAGACAAGGAGGGCCGCTTCATTCTAAAGGGTATAGGCTTGCCTAAAAAGCCAATCGCTTTTTGCCTGGTTTTATCCTACTGTTACAGGTTAGAAAGCAAGCAGAACTGGTCACAGCCAGCATTTCCTTGTGCCAATCCCACAAAAGATCTGATGAGTTAACTCTGTGAGATTAAGAAGACTGTCCAAATCTTTCTTCTGTCTCGATGCAGGCGCATTCACCCCACTAAGCACCTGTGCGTGAGAGACAGCAGCCTTCCCGCTTGGCTCTTTCTGAGCTCTATTCTGGGAGCCTCTGCCTAAATTACCCACCTAAAGCTGTCTCCCAACTTTTCCTGGCTTCTGGGTCCAAGGTGGACCCTGACCCCTTGTGGGTCTGAGCACGGTGTAGTGTCCTGTCATGGGTGGAGCAGCCAGCCCCTGTCCGAGCTTGGCTCAGAAGTGTCCCAGCTGTGTGGTCTTGAGCACCACGCCACCTCCTGTCTTCACGATGAGATTTAAGTGTGTTGCTGCGTGTGGCAAAGAATGCAGCTTACGCATTTGATTCCTTGTGTCGCGTGTCAGCTTTCCCCGCCCCCAACTACTCTTGAAATCAATCCTGCAGAGTGGCTGGTTTCCATCCCAGCCCTCTCTCCAGAGAGCCCCCTTGCCTGCCAGCAGGTGAGGGGTGTCCAGTGCCTCTCTTTCCCCTACCCAGCACACGGGCCTGGCTGCCTCCCAGGCTCAGCTGCTTGGAATAATTTGGCAGAGGAAAGAGGCAGGCCGACCTTACCATTTGTTAGCTTTTGGCCTTGATTCCAAAAGCTTCATCCTGTAGCTTGCTGGATTGCCCAGGAGACAGACAAGTGCTGACCACTCCCCGACTGAGGGCTTGGAGGAGGGGTCTATACTGCCTCTACTGACCTTGTTTCACATACAGGAGTGGCTACAGAAACTTCTTCATCCAGCCCACCAATCCCAGAGCAGAGAATAGTAGAATGTTCTGGATTATTCTGTCAGGAGACAGACAGACACACCGCTACCCCTGCTCTGTACACACACACACACACACACACACACACACACACACACACACACACACACACACACACCCTGCCCTGTACTATCCCCTACTTTGTGGTTCAGTAGTGAGTCTGACTCTTGCTGCAGTGGATACACACACACACACACACACACACACACACACACCCTGCCCTGTACTATCCCCTACTTTGTGGTTCAGTTGTGAGTCTGACTCACGCTGCAGCGGATGTCACTTGGGTGGGTGGGGCTCCCCACTGATTTGAGGCATGGGCCCGGGAAAGGACAATTTAGGTGTTTGCACCTGTGGCAGTTTTGGGTGTCTAGAGGAGGGAGGGCTCACAGTGTTTGGATTGGAGGAGGGCTATTTGGATCTAGACTGGGCTGCTCTGCTTCCCCTGTGCTCACACCTGTGTCTCTGGTTCTCAGGTACTGCACCTGTACTGTGACACCTGCTCTGTTCCCATCTGCAGAGAGTGCACGCTGGGCCGCCATGGGGGCCACAGCTTCGCCTACCTCCAGGATGCCCTGCAGGACTCGCGGGCCCTCACCATCCAGCTGCTGGCTGATGTGCAGCAGGGCCGCCAAGCTATCCAGGTCAGTTATCTACTCAAACCTTCCTTGTCCCTTCTGGAGGGCGTGGGGGTGGGGGTGGGTAGGCAGATTGTACTGCCGGGGCCTCGGGCTGTGGCATCAGGCTACTGAGGTGGCCGGAGGGCAGGTGCTTGGCCTGAGTTACTGAGTTAGCTTTGCAGAGGGTTGCTTCAGTCTGGCAAGCATTGGGTTTTCATTGGGGCTGCAGGGACTCTGCACCTGATGCTCTTTTAGGCACAAGTATTTGATACACAGATTTACTTACTGAAAGCTGAGACCCGAACATGACGCTTGAACTGTCCGCAGTCATAAAGCCTTGTGATTTACTTAAATGCCTGTCCTTGAATTACCACCATTCCTTTTATGGTTGGGGAGGGACATGTGTGACATTTTAAGAATTGGCCAACTTCTCCTACATTGTTAAGCAGTGGTGTGTTATACGTAGTTGATTGATGTTAATTCTTCCTGTCTATTATTCTGCGTGACAAGCGTTTAGGGAATTATGACATGCCTCCCAAGAATTACTAGGTAAGCTTAAAAGAGGAGAAACATCGCTAAATTTCCGGCAGAAACTGTATAGAAAGCTCATTTATTTACATTTTTGAAGTATTTAGGCTAAAAATATTTTAAGGTCATATTTTGGGGGGGTTATACTACAGAACCGAGCGTTTTCCTGACAGTTTGGCCGAGTTTTGTTTTGCCTCATCCTTCCAAGTATCACAGGTCACTACCACACCTGGCTGAGTCCGAAGGTCTCACTGGCTGTTTAAGTATCTGGATTTCTATGCATGGCATTAGAGTAGTATTTTCAGACTAAGTAGATCTCCCTGTTTCCTCTCCTAATGTTCAGATACAGGTTAAAGGATGTGTTTCTGGAATGACAGGTCCTGCCATCAGGATCGGGACTTGATTTTTACCAGTTTGTTTTTTCCCCTTTTTGGGGGGTGGGCGTGGGTCTCTGTGTGTATAGTGCCTTTGGAAGCCAGAAGAGGGCATCAGATTACGCCCTGGAACTAACTGGGAGTTGCAGATGGTTCAAAGTTGCCTTGTAGGCCCCTGGGATCTCTCCAGCTCTCTTACACGATGGGCCCCTCTTCATCCATCTTTCTTTTTAAATGCCTGTACAGCTGAGCGGCCTGGTGTCTCCTGACCTGGAACTCTAGAATCCCAGGCAAGCCTTGGCAACATGAGGCCGCGTCTCACGATTGGGGGGGGGGGCGACAACGACAACAATAACAACAACAGGCTTGTGTAGTTCACTTCTGTTGCTTCTTCAAAAAAAAAAAAAAGAAGAAGAAGGACTTTTTACTTTTACGTGCATTGGTGTTTTTTAGTCTATGTGAGGGTACCAGATCCCCTGGAACCAGAGTTACAGATAGTTATGAGCGGCCATGGGAGTGCTGGGAATTGAACCACCCGTTTCTGAAGTTACTGTATCTCCATTGTTCTGCTCTATGGTGAGATGTCTGTCTCCACAGATGACGAGGTTACAAGTAGAATTCTCTAAGAACTGTTTCATTTTGTTCCCTCAGGATGTCATCCCCGGCCACTGCCCTTGGCCCGGGACTGAGAGAGCCAGGGGTGGGGTGGGGTGGGGGAGACATATCACACACGCACGCACACGCTCACACACGTACACACACAGACGCGCACACACAGACACAAACACGCACGCGCGCACACACGCACGCGCGCACACACACAGACATAAACATACACACAGACACAAACATACACACAGACACAAACACCACACACACGCGCACACACACGTACACGCACACATGTACACGCACAGGCAGACACACACAGACACAAACATACACACAGACACACACAGACACAAACACAAACACACACGCGCGCACACACACACACACACACACACACAAACACAGTATGCCTTTCTCTGGGTCCAACCCAATGCAGGCCACCCTGCTCCTGCTCCAAGCAAGCATGCCACATGACCTCCACCTTCTAAGGTCTTTGAATAATCTTAAACATGAGACAGGGTCTTCCTGTTGACCATGACTATTCTGGAACTTGATTTATAGATCCAGGATGGCTTTGAACTCATAGATCCGATGCTCTGTTGTGTGCTCAGCTACTCAGGGGAGATAAATGCGTTGTCAAGATTTAATGGAGGGGGCTGGAGAGATGGCCTAGCAGTTATGAGCACTGGCTGCTTGCTCTTCCAGAGTCCTGAGATCAATTCCCAGCAGCCACTTGGTGGCTCACAACCATCTGTAATGAGATATGGTGCCCTCTTCTGACATGCAGGCACACATGCAGACAGAAAGCTGTGTACATGATAATAGGTAATAAATACGGTGGCACATACCTTTATTCCCAGCACTCAGGTGGCAGAAAGCTAGGTGGATTTTTGTGAGTTTGAGGCCAGCCTGACCTACAGAGAAATGGGCGGGAGGAGTTGTTGTGTTTAAACCCAGATTTCATTTTTATCACTCACATGGCCCCTCACAAACACGGGTAACTCCATTTCCACGAGGTGCACGCAGAGATTGGAAAACAGACATAAATAAAAAGTTTAAGCTGTAGGCAATTGAGCTCTAGTTAAAGAGAGAGGAATAGAGGTGTAGGAGATTTTGGGTCTTGCGCAACTCAAGCATAGGCCAAGAGGCCAAGTGTTAGTTGGTAGTCAGTGTCTGGTGCTGTTCTGGAGATCATGCTTGGTAGAAGAGCAGGGTAGTGGAGGGGGGGTGTGTGCCCGCTTTGGGTTGGATGCAGGGGGAGGTCTATCGTGTCCCCCCCCCCCCCAACTGCAATGCTGAGAGCTGCAGGAGACATGACTGACTGACTATATGCAAGGCAGAGTTCTGGGGGGGGGTTAATTTAAATCCACACTAGTGTGTATCATGAAGGCATAGGGAAAAGTAGCCATAGTACCACGGATTTTTGTTTGTGTGTTATGTTTTTACACAGCGGCTTACCCTGCAGTCCAGGTGGCATGGAACATTCTCCTTGTGTGCTTCCTGAGTGCTATGTGCATCATTTGGGCCAGGCATGGGTGCAGTAGCGGGTGCAGTAGTGGGGTGAAGTCCCTCACAGGACAGCAACCAAACGGTTAAGCCTTCAGCGGTTAAGGTTCTTGCTGCTTCTGCAGAGCACTTGGATCCATCACCCACACAGTTCCAGGGGATCCAGCCCCATCTTCTGGCCTCCTCAGATACTGCAAGCATGTGGTAACACAAATAGAATATCTTTGGGGACCCTACTTTGGCCTTCGCAAGCATCTGCATACACCCCCGCTCCAGTGTACACACACACACACACACACACACACACACACACACACACACACGACTTTATAAAGATTTACCCAGAGACAGCCAACTCTCCCTAATATGAGAAGGGCCATTTATTAATTTGTAATATTTTTTTTAGTCTCCACCAAAATCTAGAAAAATTCTGCTTATCCTTACAAACAATTTTTTACTGTTATCTGAATATTGCTGAGTTTTTAACAGTTAGGGTTAGTAGGTCACTACTGACTGCTATGGTGAGTGAGGGCTTTGATAACCCGCTCACCACCACCACCGAGCTACATCTTCACAGCAGACACCCCATCTCTTAACATTCAGGATCTCACCAAGCAAAGCTCGAGGCTGGCGTACACAAGCTGCTTCTGCGCACCAGGCCGGCCTCAAACTTGTGGCACTCTGGTGTCTGCATGGACTCCTGGGGTTAAAGGTGTGTTGTGTACACCACTCTTGTCTCGGGGCCTCCCATTCGTTTTCCATTGAATTACACCTTCAACCCTTCAGCTTTGTTCAGAAAAGATTTCCCCAGCCGTTCCATCCCCTTTCCTGAGAGTGCTCTGCTTGTTGCCCACCGCCCCTTCCCCCACCCCACCCCACCCCCACCCTGGAGGTAATAATCAGGTGTAGGAAGATCCGGTACTCAAGGTTCTGTGATAGAGTTGCTGCCAGGCCCTGGCCTCACAGAAACTCAGTTGTGAACCACTGCATATGAAACCTGGTTGGCCTTTCTCTGAGGGGCTTCGAGGGTACCCCAACACCTCATTTCCCACCAGCCTTCCTGTTCCTGCCCGGCACTTTGAAGATTTGCTGGTGTGCTTGAATCTCCACAGGCATCTTGGTTTTTATCTGATTACATTAGGGCTTTGTCCATTGACTGCCAGTTCTTAGGTATTAGATACCGCTATAAAGAGAACCCCAGGTTTCCAGTTTGAGAGTCTTGAGTATGCATTCGAGGTTCCCAGTCTTCTTGGCCTGTGACACTACTTCCTAGCTGTACCGTGGAAAGAGTCACACAGTGAGTGGCTGCCATGAAAGAGTTAGCTGGTACGCACAGTTGACCTGTTACAGCCCTCTGTTGTCATCTGACAGTCTTTCAGAAGACTGTAGTTACAGTTCCCGCCCAGGTCAAAATTGTAACGCCAGACAAACAAACACTCTTACATAAAAAGTTAAAATAAATCATGTTTGAAAAAAATGAATTCAGTGGAGCACGACGTGTTTTGGAGCGGAACTCCCTCTTAACCGCAAAGGCCACCACCTCGTCCCCTCTCTCACCTGCAGAACCAGTCCTGCATCAGTGTGTTGGGGCAGACCCATTGCACCTCTTTATCATCCTCAGGAATGCTCGGTGTGATACCGACCCCCCCCCCCCACTTTAAAATGCTATTTCGGTTGCTCGGGTGCCATAAAAGCTTTAAATCCCTTCTGCCTGTTGAAAGGTACAGATCTTCCAGTAAGTGCAACTGGGTGATAAATAAACACAGGCCTCTGGGTGTGTGTGTGTGTGTGTGTGCGCGCGCGTGCGCGCGCTAGGACACACAGATGAATGAAGATCATCGAGTGAGGGCATGATCGTCTACCCCGTGCTAGAAGTATCATTGCTCTCACAGTGCACACTTTCTGCAGGAGACAGTTTGTCCCTTAAGATGACTGTGTGTTGACTAGTGCCAGCACAAGTTAGTCATTTAAGAAGAGGTAGCCTCAGCTCAGAAAATGCTCCCACCAGACAGCCGTGTCCAAGCCTGTGTTGGTGATGTCCGTAGGATGAAACAAACCCCCTCCTTCCCCAGGTCCCTCATCGTGATTGTTTTAACCAGGCCACAAAAACCTGGAGCCACAGTTGTTGCATTTTTGAAAACCACTTTTAAGATGATGATCATCAGCATATGGGTAGTATCTGGTTAACGCAAGTAAGCTTGTGACAGGTGTTTAAAATATTCGTTTATTAGACAGGTGTTTGATACATTGTATTAGGTAACTGTGTGTGGGGAATGCATGTACCTCCATGTCCTTGTGAAGGCCAGAGAACCTGGGGATTCTCTGTCACCACTTGGTCCCAGCCTGCAGCAGGCACCTTGACCTGCTGAACTAACTTGTGGCCCCTCATTTGTATATTCAGAGTAGTTTGTCTTTCTCTCCCTCCTCCCCCCTTCCTGTTTACCCCTCCCTGTCTTCCTCGTCCTTGTCCTAGGACACTCAGGGTTGCACAGAGCGAACCTGTCCTGCCTTGAATAAGAAACTACAGCTGAGCTGGGCATTGGGGGCACACACACGCCCTTAATCCTAGCTCTTAGGAGGCAGAGGCAGGCAGATCCTCTGTGAGTTCGAGGCCAGCCAAGGTTACACAGAGACACCCTGTGGGTGTTAGAGGCACATTGGTCACTAATTCTACACTTGCCTCTTGATTTGATTATTATCCTCCCTCCCCCCTTTTTTTTGAGGGGGGTACAGGATCTGTATGTAACTCAGGCTGCGCTTGAACTCAGAGCCATTTGCCTCTGCCTTCTGGAGAGGACTTGGATCCATCATCCACATAGTCCCAGGGGATCCAGCCTCTGTAGACACTGCAAGCGTGTGGTAACACACACACTATCTATCTATCTATCTATATACATACACATATAATTAAAACAATAAAAACAAATTCCTTTAAAAATTTAAGACGGAGTGGTTATTGATGGTTGGGTGGTTGGGAATACTTGTTGCCCTTGGAGAGGGCCTGGGTTCAAGTCCCAGCACCCACATGGTGTTTCACAGTCATTTATAACTCCAGTTCTAGGACTGTAATGCTCTCCTCGGGCTTTTGCCAGCATTAGGCATATACATGATTCATATACATACACGAAAACAAAACACTCATGCATGAAATAAATATTAAATAAATAAAACCCTTTGTTTAAAAGAAAAGCACCAAGGCTGGCTGTGGTGGCTCACGCCTTTAATCCCAGCACTTGGGAGGCAGAGGCAAGCAGATCTGTGAGTTCCAGGCCAGCCTGGTCTATAAAGAGGGTTAAAGAGATAGCCTGCATCCTACCCTGTGGGCAGTCTGTCAGCACCCAGTCCACCTAGAGGAGCCAGCTGCAACTTTACAGTTTGGGGTTGACAGGCAGCCACGTGAAAGCCAGCGAGTGTTGGAGGTGCACTGTAATCGTGGCTTGGCCATTACCAACATCATTTCATCCAGGCCAGGAGGTGGCATGTATGAGTCCCATTCATACATGTCAGAATAAGGGAATGGCATTGGGCTTCCTGGCTCAGAAGAGTGTTTGTAAAAAATCAGGCAGGCCATCCATGTATTGTCTGTTTAGACAAAGCAGCTGCCATGGGCAGCTCTGTGGTTTCCATGCGGAAGAGGGCTGCAGGGGACAGCTTGCTGTGTGCAGAGCATTGTTTCTGAGGTGAGAGTTCTGGGTTTGTGGTGACGGTTGCACCGGGGGCACCAAACGTCGCCGATGGCAGTTTCTGTGCTGTGGATCTCCCACAAAACAAGAAGAAATAGGAGGTTGGACGCAAGTGAGGTGGCTCAGTGGATGGCTTAGTCTTGCCAAGTCCAGTGACATGAGTTCCATTGCTGGGACCCACAAATGTGGAACACGTGCACGCGAGTGTGCACACACACACACACCAGTTTCTTACACACCTCATTCACCAGCCAAGAGTTGAACCCCAAGTTGAGTAACAGCATTCTCTGACTCCGGCCGGTGCTTGGTTCTCTGCAAGTTTTCTCTCCTGTTAGCCGTCAAGAAGATGGTGGCAAATGTCTGCTTAGAGAACTAATATAATAGGAGCTGGGATTTGAACCTGGGGTTTCTTAATAAAATACCTCGCCAGCCTGAGGCGCTGCTTCAGCCCCTCCCATCACTTGTCCAGAGAGCCCTCTGCGCAAGGGGGCACGTCCAGTCCACTGCTTACCCATCGGTGCGGCTGTGCCCTCGGGCTTTACGCTTTCTCTACCCACCTGGTTGGACCATCTGCTCTAAAATGAGTCCTGACAGTGTAGTTCTCAGTGTCTCAAAGAAATCTTTGTGGGTTTTTTTTTTTTTTTTTTTTTTTGACACTTCATGTAATATTAACGAATACACCAGGCCTTCTGGATTAATTTTTTATGAACAATATGTCTGATTCAGCCAGCTGATATACTGGGCCTGGTCATGTAAGATGAAGGGCCCCTGACTGCAGGGCGTGATTGATGAGTTCCTTAGGTTAGGTCAGGAGAGATTGCTGACAACTGGTGCAAATGTGCACGTGTCTGCGTGCCTCCCTGGCCCGCAAGAGTCTCTTCAGGTTTGGGGAGCAAGCCCGACATCTGTAGACTTTATATCCGGGGCTCGTTCCCGGTATCTGACACGAAGCAACCGGCAATGGTTGCCCTGTTGTGAGTTTCCTGTAATAGTCTTGATAGTCACTGGAGGAGCCATGTCTAAAACAAAGGGACAGCTCCACCTCAGCAGGTGCCAGCAGCATTGTTCAAGCATGAGCCCCTCGGGCCTGACGGAAGCGTCTTGTCATCCTAGCTAGGTGAGGTGTGGGTGCCTAAAGTTTCTGCTTGCTTTTCCAGCTGAGCATCGAGCAGGCCCAGACTGTGGCAGAGCAGGTGGAGATGAAGTCCAAGGTGGTCCAGTCGGAGGTCAAGGCTGTGACGGCCCGCCATAAGAAGGCTTTGGAGGAGCGCGAGTGTGAGCTGCTGTGGAAGGTAATTTAGAATAGTTGGTAATTTTCCAGAAAGATGGGGTGGAGGGGGTGTCCCTGGAATACTGGATGTCACTTATATAGCAGAACAACAAGAAACCCTTTCAGAAAGTGCCCAGTATCCAGGATGGGGCAGGGCTCAGGTTTTCTGTTGCTCACCCTGGAGAGGAGGCAGACAAGAGGGAGACAGTTAGAACTCTTGTTAGCAGAGGGGCGGGTAGGAAACAGGAAACAGTCCTTACTTTTGCTGTCCTAGCTGGCTGTACTTCCTGACTCCATGTGGAAAGCTTCCACTTGCTGAGGGGGTGGGGGGAGGTGGGGAGTGTGTTTCCTGTTGAAGGCAGGGAAGAGCGCTGGCCGCACTGGTGGGCTGCTAGGTAGATAAAAATCAGCTGGGAAGACTCCCACCGATCAGCGCCTTAGCCATTCTGATCTTGTCCCTACCACCACATACCTAAGAAGGTCAGCTCAGGCTACCTACAGTGCAGCTGGTACTCAACCTTTTCTTTGGCTGTTCTCAACACAGGGCTGCAAACTGACTTAGAAGAGGCCTCTTCTGGCAGGTGGCTTGTTTTTAAGCCAGCACCATGGTAGGGACAATATCTTAGGTCCCAAGAAACACAATTTTAAAAATTGTGTGGGTGGGTACCCGTGGAGCCATAAGATTCCCCCTAGAGCTGGAGTTTCTGTTGAGCATCCCGGCCTGGGTGCTGGGAACCAAACTCTGGTTCTCGGCTAAGAGCATTCCTTCCGTGCTGCACTCCAAAGTGCTGTTTTGTTTAACTGTGTGAGCGCGCACGCGCGCGTGCGTGTGTTTAGCGTGGCTTTCTGCACACGAGGACAGGTGTGTGCAGAGGCCTGAAGAGCATGGTGGGTCTCCTGGGGGTAGGGTTGTTGACAAGGGCCTAAGCAGCCCGTGGCCCGTCACTGTCACACCCTGAGGTGTTGTGTGTCAGAAGGTGAGAGCTGCTTTAGCAAGCCCCCACTTCTGGGTCCCCCGGTGGAAAAGGCGGCCACAGCAGCTCTGGGGCCGTCGTTTTGGCTGTGCCCCTTGCTCACAGGCTCGATGTAGGTTTTGTTTTGAGACGGGTGTCTATATAGCCGCCACCGCCGCCGCCGGGGATGCTCGGGCCCCTCACCCCCTCAACTCACCTTCCTCCGCCTCCCGAGCGCTAGGACAGATACCTCCACCTCATCCTTTTCATTTGCTCGCTTTTTGTTTTTTTTGTTTTTGTTTCTTGTTCTATTATTTCTGTTGGTACAATAAAATACCCCAGCAAAGGAGAGTTTATTCTGGCCTACAGTCCGTTATTGTAGGGAAGTAGAAAGCAGCATGGCTTGAAGCGTCTAGTCACCCACATTCCAGAGCATAGCGGTAGGTGTGCACTCATGCGCGTGTGTGGTAGTGGCCCAGCTAGCTTTTGGGGTGGGCCTTCCTCCAATTAATCCAATTCGGACAGATTTCCTCTCAGACAGGCCCGCAAAGCTAGGCTACAATGATCTAGGCTGTCCCACAGAGACTGTTCCCAGGTAGTTCTGGTTTTATCAGATTGACAGTTAAGAACAGTTGCGCCTTTTAGGGCCTGCCCTGGAGGAACACAAAGCAGTCAGATTTCTATGAGTTCAAGTCCAGCCTGGCTTACATAGTGAGGGTCCCCCCACCCCCCCAAACAACTCCCAGGGACCCAGCCCCTCTGACCTGTGGGCACCTGTACTCATATGCACAGACACACATAATCAGAACAATAATGCTTACTTCGTAATCTAGACCTCAGAATTAGGTTGCTGTGGACCTTTCGTAGCTTTCAGTCCAGTCTTGATGATGCTTGGCAAACCTGGAGTTGGGTTGCTTCTCTCATGGTGGGGGTCTAGAGCCAAAGGACTGAAGAGTTGGGTTGAACTCAAAAGGGACGAGAAAGGAGGAAGCCGTCGTGTTTCGTTTGTCGGATAAGATCTGCTCCCACATAATTCAGGCTTTTGTGCCTCCAGTCCAGGTCTCGGGATGGTTTTCTCGCACACTCTCGCTGTGCTTGGTTTTGAGTCTGTTTGCTCTTTCTCCAGGTGGAGAAGATAAGGCAGGTGAAGGCTAAGTCTCTGTACCTGCAGGTGGAGAAGCTTCGCCAAAACCTCAACAAGCTGGATAGCACTGTCAGTGCGGTGCAGCAGGTCCTGGAAGAGGGCCGAGCCTTGGACATCCTGCTGGCCCGAGACCGGATGCTGGCCCAGGTGCAGGAGCTCAAGACTATCCGGAGCCTCCTACAGCCCCAAGAAGATGACCGAGTGATGTTCACACCCCCCGACCAAGCCTTGTACCTTGCCCTCAAGTCTTTTGGCTTCGTCAGCAGTGGGGCCTTCGCCCCGCTCACAAAGGCCACGGGAGATGGCATTAAGCGGGCCCTTCAGGGCAAAGTAGCCTCCTTCACCGTGATGGGTTATGACCATGACGGTGAGCCTCGCCTCTCGGGAGGTGACCTGATGTCAGCTGTGGTCCTGGGCCCCGATGGCAACCTGTTTGGTGCAGAAGTAAGTGACCAACAGAACGGGACTTACGTGGTGAGCTACAGGCCCCAGCTCGAGGGCGAGCACCTGGTGTCCGTGATGCTGTGCAACCAGCATATAGAGAACAGCCCCTTCAAGGTCGTGGTCAAGTCAGGCCGCAGCTACGTGGGCATCGGGCTCCCGGGGCTGAGCTTCGGCAGCGAGGGCGACAGCGAGGGCAAGCTCTGCAGGCCCTGGGGCGTGAGTGTGGATAAGGAGGGCTACATCATTGTGGCTGACCGCAGCAATAACCGAATCCAGGTGTTCAAGCCCTGTGGCTCCTTCCATCACAAGTTTGGTACCTTAGGTTCCCGGCCTGGGCAGTTTGACCGGCCAGCGGGGGTGGCCTGCGATGCCTCTCGAAGGATCGTAGTGGCCGACAAAGACAATCATCGCATTCAGATCTTCACCTTTGAGGGCCAGTTCCTCCTCAAGTTCGGTGAAAAAGGAACCAAGAACGGGCAGTTTAACTACCCGTGGGATGTAGCGGTGAATTCTGAGGGCAAGATCCTGGTCTCAGACACCCGGAACCACCGCATACAGCTGTTTGGGCCCGATGGGGTCTTCCTGAATAAGTACGGCTTCGAGGGATCTCTCTGGAAACACTTTGACTCTCCACGGGGTGTGGCTTTCAACCATGAGGGTCACCTGGTAGTCACCGATTTCAACAACCACCGACTCCTGGTCATTCACCCGGATTGCCAATCAGCACGCTTCTTGGGCTCAGAGGGCAGCAACAATGGGCAGTTCCTCCGACCACAGGGCGTAGCCGTGGACCAGGAAGGGCGCATCATTGTGGCTGATTCCAGAAATCACCGGGTGCAGATGTTTGAGGCCAACGGCAGCTTCCTGTGCAAGTTTGGTGCTCAAGGCAGTGGCTTTGGGCAGATGGACCGACCCTCGGGTATCGCTGTCACCCCAGACGGATTGATCGTCGTGGTGGACTTCGGCAACAATCGAATCCTCATCTTCTAATCGCATCTTCTGGGTTTCTGTGTTTAGGGTGTGCATGTGTGCGTCTGTCGTTTTTTGAATTTCAAAGAAGAAATCATCTCAGGGATATTTCTTTTGCTTTCTCTCCCCCCCCCCTTTTTTTTTTTAAGAGATCAAAAGTACAACATTGCTTAAGTCCTACCTCATCTTAATTTTTTTTTTTTATTGTTTTTTTTTTTTTTTTTTTTTTACAGATGAATGTAATTCTCTCGTGCAGGGATTGAGCCTGTGAAGTGATAATTTCTATCTACCTCAGATCTTTGCATGTCCCTCTCTAGCAGCCCTCTTTGCTCCTCTGTGGAGCTCGTATTCCCTCCCCTCTTGAGGGTGTGGTATGCACAGGCCAGCACTCCTGCACCCTCCAGGGCACTGGAAGCATATGGTGGGGTGCATTTTGTAAATTGAGCCAAGGAAACCCCAAAAAAAAAAACCAAAAAAAAAACTACTAAGTAAAAAAGAAAAGTATAAGATGTTGGAAAGATAGGATTTAAAATTCATGATTCTAGTGTATTTGTGTTCTTGAGAATACTGTGTGTGGGGATAGGTTGTTTGGTTTGATCTTTGGGGGGGGAATCTTTTTTTTTTTTAAATGCTGCGACAGAGCTTTTCTCTGTCCTCGGGTTACCTTAGTGTCAAACATCTTCATCCCTAGGATGGCTGTGGCTTGCTAGCCAAGAAAAGCAGACCACTCATATTTTAGGTGTCTGGTCTTTTGTCTCTGCTAAGAAGGGTATGTGTGTGTATGTATGTTTCAAAGCCATCTTCGCCTGGGGCGGGGGAGAGCTGGACTTGGCACATGGCAACCCAGGGAACCTTTTCTTCCCAGTTTGCTTTCTAAGAAATAGGTTTAGCTCAGGACTCTCATTTAAAAGTGTTCTCAAGTTAAGTTTCTGTGTTTTGTTTATAAAGACTTAGGTGTAAGCAAATAAGTTAACCTTGTTCTCAGAGAGGGGCTTTTCAGATGTGGACGGGGCGCCACACAGTGGGGTGCTGGAGAAGCGAGGCACCCCCGCATCAGGGACTGTTCAGGAGGGCGGGGATCCTGTCCCCAGAGTGAACGTTCCGCAAGAGTATATAGTAGGCCAAGGGATAAACTTTTATTTGAAAAGCACAATTTTTTTTTCCTGCTTTGGAAGTTCAGGGAATATAGAATGTTTGAATGACGAGTAGGAGCACCCCATCCCCGCCCCCTTGGCTCAGGTCTTTTTTTTTTTTTTCCTCAGGATCCTTGAACCTGAGTGGAGTCAGACCTCAAGGTTAACATGAACCCCACTCTCTCCCCTAAAGGCCTTTGAATGTAAAGCATTTGTAAACCAAATCCCCCCTCCCCCCAAGTGCAGGACACAATGTATATCCTTTTAAAACCTGTACCAAAGAAGAGAATCGTGGGGGTGTGTCCCATGCCACTTAAAGACTGGTTGTGGTAACCTCAGATTGGGTCTTGTCGACACCATCATCTGTCGAGGGTGAGGACCTGGTTCGGTTGCGCCCCTGTACGCCTCACTACTGAAATCGGATCGGACTGGAAAAGGGGCTTGCATGGCTGGCTGAGGACAGAAGGGCTCGTGCCCAAAACAGACCACAAAGATCAGTTTCTGTCCAGAACGGATTTGGTTTTAAAAGAAGAAAGTTAATAAATGGAGCGGTTTTTCTTCCCGTCATCCCTAGGAGAAGGTGGTGATGGGAAGCGTGTCAACGAGGTTGCTCGGGGACATTTAACTCGCCAGTATGAACTATGGTGTTCATTCACATGACTTTTAATTTCAGGGTTTCTGGGTGATCCAAACGGGGTAAGCAGGTGCCGATGCACTTCATCAGGGAGAATGGCTTACAATCAGGGAACCCCAAAAGTCTCTGGCTGCTGTTCCTGAGGGTGATGAATGAGCTCAGGGTCCTTTGCTAAAATTTAATAGTGGATCCTTCTCCAGTTCATATTCTTGTAGCCTTTATTATGTCCCCTAAGTGTTAACCTGGCTTTTTTTTTTTTTTTTAATAATAGGGCAGAGTAACCCGGAGGCAACTCCCCCACCCCCATCTGCCCAACCTGTAACCTTTAAACACTCAAAGCAACTGACTTTACACACTTAACGATGATTCTGATCAGGGAGAAAAAGAATCTTGGTAACATTCTCAAGAACCGGATTTTAATTGTGGCCAGGGAAAAGCTATTTTTCAGTGCTATTTTAGTTTATTCTTGTTCCTCTTCACAGCTTACTAATGGCAGGAATACTGGCTGTTCCGTAGGAAATTTTTCTGGTGAATTACGACAAATAAAAATACTTGATATTTTACTTAGGATTTGAGCGTTCGGTCCAGGTTCCCACCGCAGTGGCTGGAAATGGTTGGGTCTTAAAAGAATAAGTAGGTAGGCTGTGGAAGGGTTAATTCAAAGTGGGTGTGTCCTCAGAGGTGTGTGGGTCCTGCACCTTTCTGTGTTCAGAATGGTGCTTGCCTGGCTTCTAAGGGACACGGTCACACTTGGAGAACTTTCGTTTTTAAAACAAGTGGCCGTTTGTGGCCACCCGAGACAGACTTCTCCTAGCCTGTGGGGTTTTGGTGCTAAGCACTTTGGAGAGTGTTACAAAGCAGACTGACGGTTCCATACCATGACACAGGCCGTGCGTGGCGCCATCCGTGTGCACAACAGGAGAGAGACAAGCAGGCATCAGTCCCCCAGGGAGATCTGCCCTGGTCAGGTGACAGGAGCTGGAGAGGGTTGGGCTCAGGAGGTCCCTATTGGAAGTGAATATATCTAAGTTTGAGTATTAAACATCTGGTTAGCACCTGCTTAACATTCCAAAACTGTAAGCTGAGAGTAATCATTAATCTCTAAATTTGTTGGTGAAGCTACCCTGTCTGCCTGCACTGCTGAGCTCTCCTGTGGCTAGCAGGGTGACTCCTAAAGTTGGCTTGGAGCCCAGTGGTCTGGGCTGTTCCCCAAGTGCACTAAACTCCTCAATCAATACCCTTTTTAAGTCTAACTTATCTGGGGAAACATACAAGGGTGCCCTAAACAGAATCAGACTTAGTATTGGGCCAAAGAAGCTGCCAGGATGTACAGGCACTTTGAGGTGGGTGGCTCAGTCTGTCACTGTAGTTAAGCCAAAGCTTAGTTATTGGAGTTGAGAGGTCTTGTAGGGTTGAAACAGCACAATACTGTTGTTTATGTTGTCTTCTGGGTTTGGAAGATTGTAGGGTTGCTGCATTCTGGTAGGTAGTAAAAGGTATGCCAAAGTTTTTAGGCTTGTTTTTCCTGTTTAAGAAATAATAATAATGTACGTGCGCGCGCGCACACACACACACACACACACACACACACACACACACACACACACACACACACAGCGGTGCCAAAACATACTTGTTTAGAACACCTCTCTCCTGAGAGGTTGACAGTCTGGGGCTGTAATGAAGGCTTATGTCACCTGTGCACATTAGATAGGCTTGGGACCTCCTGGTACTACAGGGCTTTCTCTGGTTCCGTGTGGGTCCCAGGGTCCCAGGACACAGTACCCCTCACCACACTGGTTGGGTTATATAACTTTTTTCCCCCTACCTCACTATTGGCAAAAGTCATCTACCTCATGTCTGCGCCTGATGGGTCTCAAACAGGATGGTATTAATCCAGCGGGGAGTGGGCAGATGAGAGAGACTGCCTCGGAGAAAATGTTTAGGAATCCAGAATTGACTTCCAGTAGAGAAATATTTGACAGCGAGCAAGAGAAGTTAGGTCATGCAAGTAGTTCTCAACCAGTCTTGCTTTCTCCTGGCACAAACCAGCTCTGCATACAGTGTTAGGAACTGCTTCTGACCTAATAGAGAACTTGACTAGAATAAAGGCCTTTAGGTCTCTTCTCTTCAAGAGAAAGCCGTTTTATCTGTCAGGAGCGTCTGCAAATATGCCCTTTCAGTTTGAACCCTAAAGGTCTTGTGGGGAGCATTAAGTATTTGAAGGGAATGAGAATCTCTGACTTCATGATTGTATTTGTAGCTGTCTGCACCCAGCAGGACGTCTGTCGCCATGGTGCAGCCCTCTCCACAATGACTGGTGATGTGTGCATTGCTCTTTGATTTGATTTGTCCTTACTACCAAAGGCAACACTTTCATTTCTTGTGCCCCGCGCCTTTTTTCTTGTTTGTTAAATACTTGATAAATTTGAGAAGCACATTATCAGGAAATGCTGTACTGTTAACCTACCTCTGTACATCGTGGTAACCTTCTGGTGGACATGGATGAGAGCATCCTGAAGGCCACCAGAGTAACCGGGTTTTGGGTTTATGAATAAATATCACCGTGAAGAAATACCTCAATAATGTCTATCTCAATAATGTCTATTTTTAAAACTGTTCTTACGGGTTAACAGATCCAGCCTGGTGGGCTGTTTTCCATCGTCATTCAACCAGCAATGGTTCTAAATGTTTTTGTGTATCCACATGGTCTTAGACCTCCTTTTAATGATTGTATTAACTTACGAGCTCAGGTCGTAACTTAAGGCTATCTCAGAGCACACTGGCTGAATGTTGGCAGCGATGCGTTTACTTTGTAACTGCCTTTGCAATGGTTCTAGAGGTCTGTGTAGTCGTCTCCTTTAGAGGGAGACCATATGTATGGGGCTTTCTTGTTTTTAGGGTGGTAAAGTGTCTTTTCCCTTTCGATGCTGGTGAGGGTGGGTGGTTTAGTGATGTTTAACTAGCATGTTACATGTAGTTGTGGGGGGGAGGGTTCGGTTTTTGTTATAATGGATCTTGTTTAATACTATCCATTAGCTCTCGTGCCTGGTCAGCCAAGGGGAAAAAAAATAAAACTAAACAAAAAAAGAAACTTTAATTTTTAAGTAACTATAGAATACATGACTCGGTGGAGTCCTTTTTTTTTTTCCTCCCGCCCCCCCCCCTTTTTTTTTTTTCTTTTTAAGAAGTCTGGGTGGAATTCGCAGAGGCTTGTTGCCTGGTGTTGGAGTGACTAAGTTGAGTCTCATTCTCACAGCAAGCGGATTGAAGGAGCACAGTACCAGCCTTCTTCCCCCTGGCAACAGAGCCCTCCCTGCCAGCCCACCTGGGGTCCCAGCTGCCTCTGCCACTTAC